TATAAATACGAAATGTGTTATTAAAATAGTATTTGCGGCTTTATGTTGATAGATACTTGGTGGTCAATATCTGTTGACGATAATACATTATAGTATTCAATTTATGTTTTTCATTTTAACAACATTTTACGAACAAATTCGAAGAGAATAACGATAGTGAAGAACGATATCAAAAGAAAATGATATAATCTTATTTGACTAACTACTGCACACAGAAACGACAATCTGTTTACCTTAGGGTAGATTTAGTATGAGAAATATATACTACAGATTACCCTTGGTACATAATTAAGTAGTGCGGTAGTTGTACATGATGAAACATAGTTTTATGAGCAATATATTTGATATGGTATTGAAGGGTCCTTGAGCAGTTTGCATGTTGTTGCCAAAAAAAGAACATTTACGTACTTAATGTTTGTATGATATTATTGGCAGCAGTTCAAACGACGTACGCAGATGTAGGCCGTTATATTCATTGTTGACCTTTACTCGATTGAGGGTTGTTTTATATTTTTTTTAAAAGCAAACAAGCGGGAAATGTTAAGAGAACACTACAAAACTATAATACACTTCCCTTACATACTCAATAGAAAAATATAAAAATTTATCTTGTGTTAATGTTTTTTGTCAATATGTTTCGATCGATACAGTCGATTCGTATTCTACCTGCGAGTGTGATAGTAAGGGTAGTTGTGTGGTGCCAGGGTCCGGTACAGCGACGTCAGTGTCGGTGGGCAGCCTGCTGGACGACAACATGTGGCACGACGTGGTGGTGTCCCGGCACCGCCGCGACCTCATCTTCTCCGTGGACCGCGTCGTCGTCACCGGACGCGTCAAGGGGGAGTTCTCGCGCCTCAACCTCAATAGAGCGGTAACTACCCTCTCTCTCTCTCTCACTCTCTCTCACACATTCACTAACGGTAGAAATCAATATTTCATCCATTGCTTTTCGATTGTTATTGCAGCTTTCACAATTATTAAACTTCAACCAAACGGAAAAAAGATTAGGAGCAAAAACTCTGCGTCCGCGCACGGAAAAGCATGGTTTTAGTTCGAATATTGATTTCGGCTGTAAGTCATAAAATATCAACCGATTTTGAAACAAAGATAATTTACAATGTTATACTACCTTTAAGTTAACAAGTTTAATTTTTTCTCCATATCTATGCTTCTTAAAAATGGGATCATTCATGGCCCGTCAGATTGTCGAATTTTGTCAATTTTTATCTTAAAAAATATTGTTGTTTTAGTTGTGGATGCATATTTACTTAGAAACAAACATTGTTATCTAGTTGTACATCGGAGGAGTGCCGAACTTCCAAGAGGGCCTGGTGGTGGACCAGAACTTCACCGGGTGCGTGGAGAACCTGTACCTCAACGCCACCAACGTCATCCAGGAGGTGAAGCAGGGCTACGACTCTGGGGAACCCTTCAAGTTCCAGAAAGTTAACACCCTCTACAACTGTCCTGTGAGTCATTGTTCAATAAGGCATGTTACGAAAGAAATAAACTCAAAATGTTAGCGATTTTACTACTGTCGTAATGTTGGTTAACTAAATAAATTTGAACGTCATATTATATCTGCCGCATGTGTCAGGAGCCGCCGGTGGTGCCCATCACCTTCCTGAAGGAGGGGTCGTACGCGCGGCTGCGGGGCTACGCCGGCGCCACCACCCTCAACGTCTCCCTCGAGTTCCGCACATACGAGCACCACGCCCTGCTCATCTACCACAAGTTCAAGACTGAGGGATATGTCAAGGTAACGACTACATAGCTAGACTTGGTTGCATCAGGCGGCGACGAACATTATCTTGTCTGTGCTTCACTTGTATGCGTTTATTTTGGTTTAATTACTGCTACCTTTGTGCAGGTTTACTTGGAGGAGGGGAGGGTGAAGGTGGAGTTGTCGACTGGAGGCGGTCCCGGGGGTGGGGCGACGGTGGGCGGGCCGGTGCGCCTGGACAACTTCCCCGAGCCGCAGAACGAC